TATTATAAAGGGTGAAGAGCGATAGTAAATATTTTGTATTTTAATTTTATAATACTATATTATATATAGTATTTTGACACATAATTTTTTTGCAGTACCGTAATTACTGCACGAATCTTTCTTCTAATTAGTTTCCTTTCAATGTGCATGAATCCACGCACGGGGCCACTAGTAATTTCATAAGTCCACTTAATATAACTAGAGATGTTAAACAGTGCTGGATAGCCAAAGTTGAGTATTATTTTTGTGCAGACAACCAGCAACCTTTGGAAGGTTAAGACAGAAATAGGTCTGATGGGGGATTTGGGGATTAGGAAAAAGAGATTTTGTTGATGTTTATTTTTTGCTTATTTTTTTAATGTTATAGTTTTCTTAAGATAATAATTGAGAATCTAGTTAACATGCCTGCTGAAATATCTGATCACAGACATAAATGGAGTAAGCAGAGAAGGAAAACTTCCCAAATATATTAAATGAATTAATAGTTTCTATAGTTTCAATAAAAGGTACCCTGAATGTCTGCAGATCCAGACTTCATGCTGGGTTAAATATTGAGGGTTAAATAAATTCAAATAACTAGATGGTAATTATCTTCCTTGATGAAAACCTTGGGAAATTAGAATTAAGTACAGAAATGTTTAAGAGAATCAAAGCCATTAAGTGAATATTTTTCCTTTAAAAAATCTATACAAAAATTACATACCTGTGATATTTAACAGCATTTGGCCCTTTCCATTAGATTGCCTTGTAATCACAATTTAAAATAAATAACACATTTATTTAAAGTTGTGATTTTTAAGTTAAATGTGACTATGCATACATACAGAATTAGGTCACTGAAATGAAATTCAAGTTTTATAAATTAATATTTATAGGTTTGAGTATTAATACACTTAGTTTTTAATTACCTTTTTACGAGTTGAGTAGCTGCCAAGATTTTTAAGTTGCATAAGTGAAGATATTAGATGTATTTAATATAGAAAAGCAGTTTAAAAGATATGGAGGTGATTCATTAACAAGTATGAAAAAGGAATCAAATATCAGTTAAAGGCCTCTTAAAATGACTACTAAAATCCACTAGATTTCTTAATACATTAGTAATATTTGTAAGTTGCATTTAAAAGCTCAAAGACTATACCCTAAACAATTGAAAACCAGGACTTGAAATATTTGCAGATCCATTTCATAGCAGCATTATTCACAACTGCCAAGAGATGGATGCAACCCAAGTGTCCACTGATGGATGAATAGACAAATAAAATACACACTATGGAATATTATGCAGCCTTTAAGAGGAAGGAAATTCTGACATTGTAACCACACAGATGAACCCTGAGGACATCACTCTCAGTGAAATAAGCCAGTTTCAAAGGAAAAATGTTCTGATTCCATTAGAGTAGTCAAATTCATAGAGACAGAAGGTAGTATGGTGGCTGTTGGGGGCTGGAGGGAAAGGGAAATAAGGAGTCAGAGTTTCAGTTTTGTAAGATGAAAAGAGTTCTGTGGATGGATGATGATGATGGTAGCACAAGTACAACAATGTAAATGTACTAAATGCCACTAAAGTGTACACTTAAAAATGGTTTAAGATGGCTAATTTCATATTATACACGAAAGGCCTGGTTCATGAAATTCATGTACTGGAGGGGGGGTGTCATTCAGCCCAGCCTGAACCTTACCCAATCTGGGAATCCTCGGACATCCCTCTCACAATCCAGGACCATTGACTCCTAACCACTTGCCTGCCTGCCTGCCCCTAACCACTCCTGCCTGCCAGCCTGATCATCCCGACTGCTCCCCTGCCAGCCTGATTGACACCTAACCACTACCCTGCTGCCCTAATCACCCCAACTGCCCTCCCCTGCCAGCCCTATTGCCCCCAACTGCTCAAAAATACCTTCTCCTCCAGAGTTGGGGAGGGGGCAGCAAAAAATAGAAGACATACCTCCCTATTGCGCATGAACCCTATATATAGGCCCACCCAGCCCAGGCCAGTGGAATACTTGGCACATTCTTGGATCCCTGTTCAGGAGCTAGAGGAGTGATTGGTGGCAGCACATGTGAGAGGGCACCTCCAGGTGGCTACTCTGGTCCTGCCTACTGGTCCTGGAACTTCCTGGTCCTCGGTTCCTTTTTGGTCCTGCCTGCAAGTCTTCCTACTTGGCTCAGCCTCCTCTCTCCATCCTGGCCTTAGATGGCCCCCTTGACTCCTGGGGGCTCTGTCCTCCCCTCACCCCTAGCCTGGAGGTCCTGGGGGAGGTGATGGCTTCTCAGAGATCCCTGGCAGCCCTGTCACTCGTGTTCACACAGGGGAAGGGGAACATGTGGCAGAACCAGCTGTATAAATGTGGGTGTAGGGGCAAGTCCTCCAGGGTCACTTGGACAGTTTGCTGATGACACGGATCAGGGCTGCATTCTCATCCTTGAGATGCTGATTGTCAACCCAGAGGTTGGACAGGCCCTTCAGCTCCTCTTTCAGCTCAGTGGCCATGTGCTCCAGGGCCCTGTGCTCAAATATCTCCAGCTTCAGGAGGGCCTGTCTCTGCAAGGGCTGCTCCAGCTCCACCTTGAGCTGTGCCAGCCAGCAGTGTGGTCTTGGTCAGGACCTCCCAAAGTCTCTCGTTCTCAACACATAGCTCTGCATAGAGCTTTCTGAAGTCTCCTCGGGCTTTCCTGATTCAGGTTGGGGTTCTGGGTTGAGGGCCTGCTTCTTCCAGGGGGAAGGGCTGGATTCTGGGCTGATATCTGCTGGCTTCGCCTCCTCTCCCCTCCACAGGCCTTCTCCTCTCCTTGCCAACTCTGAGGTGCTCCCAGGAGGCCTGAGGTCCCTATACCTTTTCATCACATGCTTCTACTCTCTGAGCAAGACCATTAGAATTTTGAACCCCAGGAACTCAGGGCTGCCAGGAAAGGTCCAGGTTTTGTGCAGTCCGCTCTTTATGAGATTGGGAGAGTCCCAACAAGGGCAGGCTGGTGGGGGGAGGGGCTGTGAGGTTGGCCGGCCCTACCCCCTGATCGGGCTGGTTCCTTGGCTACAGTGGACAGTGGCAGCAGTTCACTGGAGGTGGGTGGGAACCACTAGTGCCCACAGGAGGTGGGAGGGAGAGACGGGAGCATGAGAGGTGGAAGGGAGGTGCCTCTGCTGCCCCTGGGGGCTAAGGGAAAGGATCCAGAGGTCAGCAATTCAGCCCACTTACTAGTCAATGCCACCTCAGGGCAATCTGTCATCCATCTATTGTTTTGGTTGTGATGGCCCCTGGCTCTTTATATATTAGGATAGTTCACAGTTAAAAAATATGTTTTTTAAAAGCTTAAATAATAACTGGTTTTGAAATTATATTTTTTTAAAAGCAAACCTGGAATTTTACCACCAAAATAAACTTTGAGAATTTTTCATATACAAAGTCACCATGGAGGGCACTAAAGCATCCTCAGCAATACTCACTACTTGCCTTGTGATGGACATTTACGTTGTTTGCAGTTGACTGCAATTGAACATATTTATTGACTCTATTCTTTGGCTTTCTGTAAGGTAAATTCCTAGCACTGGATTTCTGGGTGAAGTGTCAGGTTTGAAAAATATTCAAACTAATATTCTGAACTGCTCTCTAAATAGGTGGCACTACTTTACACTCTCAACAGTAGAAGGAAATGATTTGATTTTTGTTCACTCAGTGGGTGAAAATTGTATCTCTTATTGTTCATGAACTAAAACAACTCATTGTCCCCATTTTTGACAATCAAGGGGAGAAAATTAAATCTGGCCAGGCACTTTACAGTGATTCTTTCTATAAACTATCTCTTTTTATCCTTAAGTGCTAAAAATATTTTTTGCCATTTTTATTAAAAAAAAAAAGTCAGAGAATAAATCATTCATAGACAATCAAAGAACTAGTGAAGCTGAACTCTGACTTGGAGATTCCCTCACTGAAAGCGCTACACCATGCATGCTGGTTCATTAAACCCAGCGTGGATCATCTGCATTCTTAGTTTTTGGTGGCTTTGCCTTCTCCTAAGAAACCCAAGTGCTTTACCATCTTAATGAATATTGTCACAACCTCTCAAATGCCTCCTGCCACCCCCCAAATATCATCTCCTAACTCCAAATTTGCAAGCCCAGTCATGCTTTGCTTCTGGTTTCTCCCAAAGATGAGTCTCCACCTAGCATACTATCTCAGGGAGAAACTCTCTCTCTAAATTGAGACTCTTGGTAAATTAAAGACTTTTGCTTCTGCAAACAGATAAGTACTTTGATTACCACAGTTTCATTGCATTGTCTTTGTAGCATAATACCATTATTTAATATTTCAGAGTAGCATGTACTCCATAAAGACAGATCCCTTGCACCATTTTCTAGTCTTTCAAAGCACAAGGCTACTGCAGACATCAAAGGGCTTTTGAAGAATAAATAGGCATGGAAGGTAATTAGGTGTTGGGCAATGATGCACACAAAATTGCTATCTTTGATGTCATGTTTCATAAGGATGAAGGTAATCAAAGATGTGGTCCCAAAATTCATGGCCTTCAAGTGCACTCTCCCAAGAGCAAAGCCAATTAACTTACTTTAAGGGCAACAAACAATGCTGAAAATTAAAAACTAATAAGATTATTAATAATCAGAAGAATATCATCAGTTTTGAAGGAGAGATTTAAAGAGACAAAAATATCTTGTCATGAGTTAATAAGGAGGCCAGAAACACAAATGACTCACACAAAAGATGGATCATTCACAAATCAAATTGACAAAGTACCAAATTTTATAGTATCTAAGAAAAACCTAAATATAATTAAATAGGCCTTAATGATTCCAGGGAAATTTTGGCATATTCTCATAAAGCATTTCTTCATTATTAATATACTCAGAAACAGAATCAATGAAAACCAGTGCTTGAGCAGATCTTATATCCCCCTTGATCCAAATACAAGACTGGATTGCAGTGGCAGTGAATAAAATACTATATTAGGCACATTAGTTGACAAAGCCTTTCTATAATAATATGGATCCAATATACTACTTTCTTTTTTCAACATTTTTTTTTCCAGAGAGGAACGGAAAGAGAAAACTAAAAATATCAACGATGAGAGAGAATTATTGATCGTCTGCCTCCTGCACAATTCACGATTGAACCCACAATCCTGGCATATGCTTTGACAGAAATCAGACTGAGACCTCCTGGTTCATAAATAGATGCTCAACCAGAGGGACCACGACTGGGCTAATATACTATCTTCTTACTTAAATTTCTGCCTAAATCAATTCCTCCTGAGCCCAAAGCAGCCATATACATACTATTGAGTCAATGAAGCCAATAAATCACACCCTTCCCAGGAAATCAAAAGCCCTTCTTCTATAATTCTGTCCTGACATCCAACTTCAAGAATAACATCTGACTAGAGGGGCTGGGGCTTTCCTGAGGAATGAGAACATGTCAAGTGACTCATTACGGGGGGGGGGGGGGTTATTACTTAGGAGTTTTAGGAAAATGCTGAAGAGCAAGAAAGACCACACATAGATCATATGCTCTTCTAAGAGGACACAGGTAGCATCTGTCAATGAACCCATCACTCTTGCAAAATGGCCCAGCATGGGTGGTAGTCTACACTGGGGAAGTAAATCATTCCTGGATCTCTTGTTGGAGCTTTATACCTGTTCCTCACACATGAACCCTAGGAGGGACTCAAGAACAAAGAGATCCCCTTAAAACATCTCACTAGCAAGGTCAAAGTACTATGACACCAGCTCAGTAAAATAAAAATGACCATAACTTACACAGCCAGTAAGCTTCTAACTGGTGGAGAAAGCCAGGTAGCCTGACTGGTATTGGCACTGAGAGAATTTTCTTCACAAATGTGCATATATAAATTAAAAGTCTAAAGTCTTTCTTTGGTTCAGGAAAGTAAACCCTTTCAATATTCAGAACAGAAAAATGAATGGCTACTGCTTCAAGCTAAATTAATTGTCTAGAAGATCAGTGGAAGACACAGCTTATAACACAGAGCAAAATTTCTAAACAATTAATATCATAAGATAAGATTTAGAAGACAAAGACTAGAGACCAGAATATGAATAATATTAATTTCAAAATAAGATTTAAAAAAATAGAGAATAAAGAATGAATAGGAAAAGCCAAAAACGGTTTGTCTCAGTGGATAGAGCATCAGCCTGCGGACTGAAAGTTCCCGGGTTCAATTCCGGTCAAGTGGATAGTGCATCAGCCTGTGGACTGAAAGGTCCCGGGTTCGATTCCGGTCAAATTTATATATTTATAAAATATATAAATTTAATTTATATATTTGGTTGCGGGCACATCCCCAGTGGGGGTTGTGCAAGAGGCAGCTGATCGATGACTCTCTCTCATCAATGTTTCCAACTCTCTATCCCTCTCTCTTCCTCTCCGTAAAAAAACCAATAAAATATATATATATATTTTTAAAGAATTATAGGAAAAAACTGTCTATGTTTAAATAAAAAGTAGCCTTACATCTTCTGTTTAAATGGCTCATGGTGTCCTAGATAACAATAACAAATAAAAGGTATGTCCCCAAAAATACAGCCTTGTGAAATCTCTGAACCTCGTGAACCCTATGAAAAAATGAAAACAACAACAAAAAACAACTTGCATTTCCAGAAAGAAAGAAAAGGGTAACTGCAAAAAAAGTTTAAATTACTTAATGTTAGCTTTCTCACCTGCAGCATGGAGTGTTAAAATACAGTGAAATAAGAAATACAAGTTATCCTATATAATAAAAAGCTAATATGCAAAGTGTCCCCTCGGGAGTTCGACCAACCACGAGTTTGATCGCTCACTATGATGTGCACTGGCCACTAAGGGGCAGTGTGGGACAAAGAAAGGTCCGGGCCAGCAGCCAGCAACCAGGGGAAGGAAGGCTCCCAGGGGAAGTAAGGCTCCAATTGGCCCTGATTGCCTGCCAGGCCTAGAGATCCTACATATGCACGAATTTCATGCACCGGGTCTCCAGTTAATTCATAATTTTGAGAAATAATTCTGGAAACAAAAGAGCCAGATGATAATAGCTTGAAATACAATGTCAGGAATGGGGGTGCACAAGTATTTGCCATGATGAGAACTTAGAAATAAATTATTCCTAAGAGCGCAAATTGGGTCTGGGAGATATAAACAAGTAAAATGTCTCTTGGGATGAGAGAAATAGATATTTAATTTCAATAGTACAGTATATAAAAATTATGAGACAGATTTCAATATAATGTGAAAGACAGAAAAGTAATCACAAGTTTAATGAAGAATGTAATAGAATTTCTTAACTAAGGAAGAAAGGCAATGCAAGTACAGGAATGAAATATTAAGTCAAAATGATAACAAAGGTGAAATGAGGAAAATTATAAAAATACAATGACATATATAAAGTAAAATGGTAGAAATAAACCAAATACACTGAAATCACAATATATGAAAATTCTTAGTTTTTATTCAAACAAACAAATCTGTAGATGTGATTAAAATAAAATTCAGCTTTATTCTATTTGTAAGAAAACTATCAGACATGGAACAGACTGACAGCTGTCAGACAGAAGGAGGACTGCATGAAAGAAGGTGAAGAGATTAGTCAAAGAACAAATATGCATAATGCAAAGACACAGACACCAATGTAGTGTTGGATAGAAAGAAGGAGCGGCAGGGGCTGGATGGAAATGAGCAAAGGATAGGGGGAATGAGAACATTTATAATAATGTCAACAATAAAAATAAAGTAAAAATATAAAATATTAAAAATAATAAAACCATCTAAATGAAATGTTAAAATAAGAGTGAAAGCCCTGGTGGTGTGCTCAGTGGTTAGAACATCGGCCAGTACACCCAAGGGTCATGGGTT